TAGAAGCGAAGCTGTGCATAGAGTTCACCAAAAGCCTAGGCGTTCCACAGTGAACTACTAACGCACCGACTTAAGAACTAACATCCTCACATTGGGCCGCGCCTTAGCTCAAGCGGTTAGTCGCTGGCTTCCCACCGAGGCGGCCCGGTTTCGATTCCGGGTCTGGTCAAATGGGATTTGTGGTGGACAAAGTGGCGCTGGGGCAGGTTTACTGCGAGTACTTCGGTTTCCCCTGCCAATCTTCATTCCACCAATTGCTCCACAATCACCCTCACCTAACATCTGGGGCTGGTACAATAGGCCAGAAGTGGCCGCAGTACAAGGGACTTAGTCCTACCCCACTAGCAATAAAAATAAAACACATCCTCACATAAAGACGTACACAACACACGCCAAAGAGAAACCAACTCAGTTACAACAGCACATAAGGAAATCAAAGGGAAACATATACAATAAAACTAGTAATAACTTCGTGCGCAAGCATCACTCGTAACCTGTATAAAACATAACGACGAATCCCGGAAGATGTCATCTACAATACACGGCAAGAAACACGGAAACTTAACATCGTAATATATATATATATATATATATTTTTAGCCAGAATTACAAGTATCATAACGATTTTAACAGTTAAGTACTAATATGGACCCGTATTAAGATAATTCAGTGACGAGTGGCGTGTTGAAGAATATTGCCTGATGATGATCCAGATACGGATCGAAACATGTAGTCACTAAACGAAACCTGAGTAGGAGAGTGAAATTAGATTAGTTTAATTTTTGATTAATTATGCTGAAAGCCAAGAAGCCACATCCTGACACACAACAGGACGCAGAGAATGAAGTTAGTTGTTTCTCCCATATAAATTTTTTGTTACCGTGTTCACGGGAGCCCCCAACTGGCCCTTAAGGCAATTGAATCCAGTCCAGACTCTCACATCCCGTTTCTTTAAGATTCATTTATAATACCATCTTTAAATCTGCGACCACATCTGACAGACTGATTTGACTCTCGTAATATTTTTTTTGTCAAGAATGTAAATTAAGCTTCTCATTATGTAATTGTCCCTGTTCTCTTGCTCCCGGTGTCACCTGTGAGGATAACGCTGCTATCTCCTTTCTGTTCTTTGCTTGGCTTACTCTTCGACCCTGAAGATTGAGGCAGTACATTCCACCGAGACACTGGCGAACTTTTGCGAGACTACATGGCGTCGCATACAAGAAGGTTCTCTTCTTGGCGAGTTCTGTTTCGAACTGCTTGCCCTGTCTGCTCCAGGCTGAAACCGGAATAATGGGTTGCAATATTCTAGGGCCGCCTCCTGTCGTGTCGTTCGAAGCCTCGGCTTAACCTATGGTATTTCAGCGGCACGTGTATTGATACCCCGTTGTTAGACCTTGACATCTGTAAGCATGACTATTACGAAATTTATTTGCATCAACTGTTGTGTCGGATAACGGATTGAAAATTCGTCTGTGAATACTGGTCGTTAAACGAGCGTTTGTGTTGAGAATGAAATTTGTTTAGAGATAATATAGTAGATACGTGGATTTATCTGTATAACCAGAACAATTGCTGAATTTGTTACAAAAGGGCTATAGCTGCATAAAAGTATACAAAAGGAAATTTGTGTTATCCCAAGAGGTTCGTAACCAGAGGACATGCAGGCAGACGCACGTATATTTAATTATTTTATGAATTTTTCTAAGTTTGTTATTTATCGAGGCTGTCATCGAAACTTTATAGCGTCCATTTAGATATTTCATGCCAAGAACGTGGCAAAAATAATTTATCTCTTCACCAAAACCTCGTTTAAACCCTCTGATAACCCTTTGAAGCATGCAGGTATTCGAAGTAATATTTACAGATTCACTTCGTACCTCGCAGGAAACACGCTACTTCCACTTTTCAGAGATTAAGAGGTTAATACTTGTGGGGAAATAGTCGCTGTTTATTGTGAGAACCATACAAAACCCAGGAATACAATCATTGGCATGAATGCAGAGCTTCTTAATGTTAGAATGGATGGTACAGATGTTTACCAGCGATCCTTAAATAAATACTCATTTTGGTCTCCTTGTAGTTTCGTATGTTGTACCTATGGCGAGTTTATGCCACCGTCCTGCAGAGTACGGATGAATGGTCACGAAATTTCTTACGTTTATCTTGTACGAGTATTTCAGTATGTAAAATGTGTGTTGGCCGGTCACGGTAGCCGAGCGGTCTAAGGCATGTACAGTCTTCGTTCGCTTCGAAACCAGGATCGTGGGTTCGAATCCCACTTAGGGCATGGATGTTTAGTTTGTGTGTGCGCGTTTTTCTGTGTTTGTGTACAGGTAGAGGCCTTGCGACGAGCTGATCACCCGCCCAAGGAGTCCTACCGAATGTGTAAGATCTAGAAAAACCGAAGTGAACAGAGAAGTTCATGGAGGTAGGCCTAGGCCCACTGGGGCTGTAGTGCCAAGGGGAAAAAAAAAATGTGTGTTGTTATTACGGTACCATGCACCGCAGTTCGAGGTTTGAGGTTATCGCATCGGTCAGTATGATGATTCCGTGTAGCCCTGAATCATCACGCAATCCCGCAATTGGACGCGCCTGTTTATTCTTGCCAGGAGTTGTATCATTTTTGCTCCCAGTTCATCAGTTCAGCTAACAAGTAAGCTGCTTTATAAGTTTGAAATGGGAGGAGGGGACGATTTGTCAGACCCTGGAAATGGGTAGGGAGTGTAATTACCGTGAAGTGATTGAATCAGCTGTTCAGTGTTATGTTTACATTCCTTTGTTTCGAGCTATGACTGACCCAAGAACTGTTAAAAAGTTTTATTTTGAGGTCCTCCGAGTGGTTTGGTACTAAACTGAGAACTGTTAGGTTTTGCCAGGTGCTTCCATTCATTGCTGGGTGAGATGTTCCCTTAGCGCAGTGTGCCGCAGCGTCTTAACTCATGTGTATAGAAGAGTTTCCGTCTTCTGTGACTTAACACCGTGTAGTCCGGCGAAAGTTAACTGACTTTTCGCAGGAATCTATGGCCTCCATCTTCAGGGCCGAAGACTAGAGCAGGCAGCAAAAGCGGAGCAAGTGACTTTCCTTGTTTATGTTCTTTCTTGAAGATGGAACCCATATTATCCTCTGAAACGTCGGTTTAATACCGAACTACCCGACGTTATATCCTATAAGATAAATTTGTTCATAGTCTCCACTATGAGGACCGCAAATCCATCAAGACCTTTCTTGTGCGGATTTTATGGAGTAAAGGATTGATTGAGGAACATAGACTGAGGGTGTTGAGGAGAATATCGGGACCGAAGAGAGATGAAGTGACAGGAGGTTGGAGAAAACTGCACAGTGAGGAGCTTCATAACTTGTACTCTTCTCCAAGTATAATTAGAATGATCAAGTCAAGGAGGATGAGGTGGGTAAGTCATGTAGCGCAAATGGGGGAGACGAGGAATGCGTATATACCACAGGGAAAACCAAGGCGTAGAAGTATAATCAATATTAAAATGGATCTTAGAGAGATAGGATGGGATGGATTGGATAGATCTGGCTCAGGATAGGGACCAGTGGAGGGCTCTTGTGAACACGGTAATGAACCTTCGGGTTCCGTAAAATGCTGGGAAATTCTTGAGTAGCTGCTAAATTGGCAGCTACTCCAGAAGGGCTCAGCTCCACGAGTAAGTAAGTAAGTAAGTAAGTAAGTAAAGGATCGATTGATGGTGTTAAATGAGTGTCATGTTGTTTTTCTGCCTCTGTCTTCAGTGTGGAAGGTACACATGTAGGGAATGGTGGTCAGGAACTAGGACAGCGAGCGAGCAAGCAAGTGGGAGGCAGTGACCCTCAAACGGGCAAAACACTTCTAAAGGAAAGCAGTTCATAATTCTCCTCGGGCTGTCAGTCGAGTCGGTTGGTTGAAAATAACCGACGTTTCAGGGACCACCTCAGGCCCCATCATCTGGGTTCGATCTGGCTCGGCTAACAAAATTTTATTAACAATACTGTCGTTTTTTTTGGGTGGGGGTTAGCCGGGATAGCTCAGTTGGTATAGCGACTGGCTACGGGCTGGACGACAGAAGGGTCGGTGTTCGAATTCCGGTAGTGTAAAGAATTTTCTTAAAGTCTTCCAGACCTGCTCTGGGGTCACCGAACCTCCTATCCAATGAGTACGGGGGGCTCTTTTCTCCGGGAGTAAAGCGGCCAGGGCGTGAAGCTGACCAGTCATCTCCCGCTAGTTCCGAGGTCAAGAAAATGTGGATCTATACATCCACTCCCCCATACGTCTTAATAGCGTGGTGCTTAATAGTTTAGCATAAGGACAGCTTTACCTTACAGTCTTCTGGGATGTGACGCCGTGTAGTCCGTTGAAAGTCAACCTTTCGAGTTTCTCACAGCGATGGTCATGAGAGTTCTCCCTTTACCATCGCTCTGTGGACCGCGCTGAAGTCGCAATCCGGAAAGTGTGGGGGCTTACTTCCACTGCTCTGTACCGTCCGTGGTCTGCTTTATAGGCGTGGGGGTACTTCAGCTCTGCCCTTAGTTTTAGGTCATGGCCAGCGATGGTCATTGTCTTGTTTAACATTTCTACAGTTGTAAGATTTGAGGATTTTACGGCGGTGACTATGAGGAATGCCGTCTTCTTGGTTGTAGCGCCGTGTGGATATTGTGTTGACCGACGTTTCGGAGCACCTGCTCACGCTGGTTCCTCGCTCACGGATTTTCTCTTTTTTCTTATACCATGAAGATGGAGGCGATACGTTCCTCCGAAACGTCGGTTAACAATATCTGCAGGGCGCCATATCCCCGAAGACGGCTTCCTTCACTTCTGCAGTTGTCTGTATGTGCCGCCGGATGCCAGTATGTAATTGGTCTGGAAGGGATGCAGAAGGAAGCTAGTGTGGACTGTTCCTAGGTACTATTCCTGAATGTAGGGACTAAGTAAAACCTTAACCGAGATTCGGTAAGGGCTGTAGCCAAGAGTACTTATATTGTGTTTCATTGGTTGCAGCTTGGATCGCCGTATGGACAGCAGCAACTGGCTGGCGGGGTGTACGGCGACCAGCGGGGCACCTGGGCCCAAAATCAGCAGCACTCCCAGCAGAACCAGCAACAACAGGGCCCCCACCTCCAGCAGGGCCCTCACCCGCAGCAGAACCAACAGCCGAGTCAGCAGCAGCATCCTCCCAACCCTCAGCAGTCCCCAAGTCAGCCCCCGCCACTACAGCACCCTCCACCCCAGCCGTCGCCACAGCATCAGCCGCAACCTTCTCCACAACCCCAGCACCCGCCCCCGTCCCCGGGACAGCATCCGCCCCCGCAACAGTCACCCCAACAGGCGCCGCCCCCAGCCCAGCACTCGCATCAACAGCAGCATCCTCCTCAGCCGCACACCCAGGTAAGAATTGTACGTGTATGTAGGCCTGCCCCAAGCTTTTGAGCATTTCCCTAAACAGTGTAATGTTAGAGCCGGGATAGCGACTGGCTACGGGCAGGACGGCCTGAGTTCAGGTTCCGGTAGAGGCTGACCACTCACTTCCAGCTAGTGCCGAGGTCAAGAATGCCTGGATCTATACATCCACCCCCCATACTTCTTCATGGCGTAGTGCCTAACTAATCAGAGGAACAACTTTATTTAATAGTGACGTGTTTCTTTTGAGGTGGTTAACTAGATTCTTAAATATGATTTCAGGGAAGAAAATACTCAAAGCTTTCTGTCAGTTTTATAACAGGGGAGTGAGTAAGATTTTAAAGGACGCGGCAGTTTTTTTTGGCACTGCTCGGTATTTATAAGGAGTCTCTGTGGAAAAACGCGAGAGTCCTGCGGATATTTGTCGTCCTTTCCGAATTTTCCCGCTGCATGGAGCTGAGTGTCAGTCGGACGTTAGTTTTTCCGCGGGGAAACACCGCCCACACTTTGCGATGCTGGTGTATGTTATCTCGACACGGCCGCACACCCTGGCGGCTCTGATGCCGTATCTTGTGAGATAAGTCTCAAACTTTCTACCGCGTGTTGTTGACGTCAGTCCTGTCTTTTCCTCTGCTTTGTGGTGTTCGGTCGAGCCTGTAGTGAAGCGTTACACCACGTCACATCTTACGGAAAAGTATCTTCATTTTCACGGCGTTGCGAACTGACAGTGATCCTGTGCGGTGGAGCCGGTCAGCGCGTGTCAACGTATTCTAAACACTTCTAGACAAGAAAAACAAACAACGCTGTTTTTTACTGTTCTGTCCTGAAGGCAGAAGTAGGAGGTTTCTCCGAAACGTCAGTAACTCCCAAAGTACGCGGATTCATGTATCACGAGGCATAAGTATTTCCTTTTGTCTTACTGAGTACGATATTTATGGACTTATGTTCACGAACAAAGTACGCAGCTGTCTAAACCATACGCGAACGAATGCTTCGTGGTTTATTAAGTCTCACACTTTATGGGGTCGGAGTTTGTCTCCATGACCCTACGCTCAGCCACCCCGCATAAATTGGTATGCGTATAGTATGCATAAACATTCTAATTTTAGATAATCCTTTGTTGCTCCTACTGATTACTGCTCATTTGAGTTTACTTCTAGTTCACTTTCCTGCTATTCTTAGTCCTCTCCCATTTACCGTGGGACTAAGTCCCTTGTACTGCGGCCACTTCTGGCCTATTGTACCAGTCCCAGATGATAGGTGAGGGTGATTGTGGAGCAATTGGTGGAATGAAGTTTGGCAAGGGAAACCGCCGAAGTACAGCGCCACCTTGTCCACCACAAATCCCACTTGATCAGACCCGGGATCGAACCGGGCCGCCGCGGTGGGAAGCCAGCGACTAACCGCTTGAGCTATGGCGCGGCCCCACCGTTATATTTAATGATGTATATTGTCACGATTTAGGAGTGGCTNCTGATGATGATGATGATGATGATGTAGACAGGGTATGGATTGGATATTGGAGTTATTGACCACTTATACACACGACTGACAACTATCAGCACTTGCAACGTCCTCAGTGAGTTTCTTCTCTATGCCCCTACAGCCCTTTGGACCTTGATCGCATTTTCAGTTTCTTAATCCGTTGCGCAGTCTGGAACTCCTTGGACGGGGGATCAGCCCGTCGCAAGGCCGCTGCCGACACCCAGACATCCATGCGACGAGTGGGATTGGGACCGACGACCCCAGTGTTCGTCGAAGACTGTTCATTCCTTCGACCGCGCGACCCCTCACCGAGTTACTCCAAATATTACTGTACCCACGACAAAAATGAAGTCCAGTCTTCACAGACACCCGTACCGACCTGACTTGGTTGCCCCCAGTTGTCTTTCTTAAAAACCCTCGGCACGGACCACATAGAAACCCCCGTTTCCAACAGTACCTCTGCTGTATGCGTATCCGTTGCAGTGGGAACGTGTTTACCGAGCCGTTGCCTAGAAACTGCTCTACGCGCTATTCGTGTTTTCTGTTCTTCCAACGTACTATAATACCGGTCATTGCCTCAGTGTGCCCAGGCCTCAGTTATCTTCAGATCCCCGTCCCGTCGTGTCTCAGTGTGTGGAGCAGATCCCGGGTTCATTGCACCTCCCTACCCCCTTCGCTCTCGGACGTGAAAGTGCAAAATTCGCGAGACCCGCCGTTAAGTAACGGTTGATGAATAATCGCATCTTCGTCATGAATGAAGCTGGACCGGCGTGTGATGTGGGCAGTGTCCGAGATAAAATTGAGGCAGGTTTTGTGTGTCAGTGTAGAATGAATGGATGCGCCGACACAACAAGGCCGGGGGGGGGAGAGAGAGAGACAGCCAGTGTGATGGGATTTGTAGCCGGTACAGATGGGCACATGTAATGCCACCTTTATTCAGGAGTATTCTCTTTGGTAATGTTCATTCTGCTCTTGGGTCTTTGTTCTGTGTGGATGTTGGCAGTGTTTCCAACGTTTCGGAGATGCATTCTGTTTCCATCTTCAGGGTAAATGTGAGTAGGTGGAGTGGTTGTGCCTCGATCGACTGACTACGAACAAGCCATACTTTTAACATACCACGAGGAACGGGACATACTAGTGAATGTTGCATACAATGGAGAACGCGCTGGCTTCCGACCGTGAAGATGGAAGCAGCATATACCTCCGAAACCTAAGCAACACTTCTTACTTCAGCACAGTGTAAGGACTTAAAAACAGGATCAGGATCAATAATGAACCACCATGAAAGTCTGAAATGAAGAATTATATTTTTTACTCGTATTTCTTCATTGAATTTTTAAAGGATTTGCAGTAGTCGGGATAGTTCGGTCCGTACGGACTGCCCATGTGTTGGACTACCAAGGAAATGGAATTCGATTCGCATCGCGGACAGAGCTCCCTCTTATCAGCGCCCAAACCGGCTCTAGGACGCACCCAACTTACTTAATGGGTTCCGAGGATCTGTCCCCAAGGGTGATACGGCCATAGCACGAAGCTAAGCACTCGTCCCCTCTAACACCTATGTAAAGAATGCGTGGGGCTATTCCTCCACTCCCCACACGTCTTCATAGCGTGGTGTTTAATTAAGCACGAGGACAATTTTACCTTTACTTCTAAAACGTATCCCTTCCAGAGTAAGAAATGGGCAGTCAGTTTTATATCCTGCGCAGTAAGGCCGGAAACTTGGCGTTGTCGTGTTTGCATCCTCTTGGTAAGGTTACCTCATGCCCACTGTCCCTTCGAAACCAGAAATCCGACTTAGCCTCTAACAGAAATGAGTACCAGGAATCTTCCGGTGGGCAAGGCTCACCGCCGCGTGAGAGCCGATTGTCTAGAGAAAATGTGGGAGCCTCGACAGTCTGTTACAGGGGTAGCTTTACCTCCTGCCCCCATTGACCAGGGAAGCTGGCCGAGGTGGTAACATTTCTCACATGTTTTCAGGAGGTGCTCGGTTAGAATCTCGGTCGTGGCACCCACTTCCCAGACGGTTTCACGGTTTTATTTAGTTCATTCAGCCGAATACCTTGATATTACTTTGAAATAGGCCATGGCCGCTTCTTTTCCACATTCTTTCCAGTTCATTATTAACCGTCCAATCATTTGATAGTATCCTGATTGTCTTGTATTCGTTAGGTGCTCGGTTGGAGTCCTGACTGTCTCGTCATTTTCTTCAGTCACTCGTCTCCTGTATATTGCTTTAAAATATACCAGTGTCGCTTCCTCCCACGACCTTCTACTTTATTATTTACCACTCCAGTCACCATCGTTAAACAAAGCTTAAATAAGTAAAATGTGCCCCTTTGCCCGTCCATATCACATTTCCCGACTTTCTTTCACAGGAAATTAATATTAATGTTATCATTTTGTTGCAGCCCCCGTTCCCGAGCCGGCCGCAGCAGCCGTCGACACCAAATGCCCACGCTCCAGACACGGGGGTAAGTTTTTCTTGGTTTTCCCAGGCATCAGAGAATGCTGTGATGTTGGTACAGTGATTCACTGCTCAGTGGGCACAGCCGGACTGCATTGTGTTTATTGATGTGCCGTGGTCGCTCCCTGAGTGTGTTGGAGCTGTTCCAGCACTCTGACGTACATTGCACGCGAAATCTTCAGGAACTAGCGGCTGTACTGTGCGCCGAAACTTCGAGGTATATCTTGAGCACATGGTGAAGGTAAACATGTCGCTGTAACAGGCCGTGGAGGTCCATAGGGCTGCGAGGCGTCGAGGCTCCCCACATTTTCTAGATAATCTGCTCACAGATGGCGAGGTTGTCAAGCCTTACACTCCGGCCACCCTTTACCCCCAGGAAGATTCTGAAACTGTGAATTAAAGTTAACTTATGTAATCATAGGAGGGTTGGGAATCACATCCTTAAATTATCACCGTGGCTTCTGTACATATTGACAAGAGTTCGGAGTAAATGTAATATGTTTGGGCGTTGAAACAGCTATGGGACATAATGCCGTGTAATCGGTTGACTGTCAGCCGGCTACATAGCATTATATCCGAGAAGATGAAACTACTTTTAAGCACCGATGTCAGATGTTCTGTGTTAGGTCCCTGTATAAAGCAGGAAACACAAGAAAGTCGTGTATATATATATATACACACATGCGCGCGCGCCTTTTTTGTTTTTTGGGTGATGTAAGACTGAGTCCACTTGGTACGTCGGTCACTACTGGACTACTGTACCAGCCCCGGATGAAAGATGATGAATGTGGAGCAGTCGGTGGAATGAGAATTGGCAGGGGAGACAGAAGTACTCGGAGAAAATCTGCCCGAGTGCCCCTTAGTCCACCACAAATCCCACATGGCCTGACCTGGACTCGAACCCGGGCCGCCGCAATGAGAAGCCAGCGACTAACCGCCTGAACCATGACACGTCCTTATACGAGTATATATGTTCTTGGGTTATTTAATTCTGCTTTTAATATCGAGGCAATGGGACACGGTAGCTTAGCTGGTTGAGGCACTATGCTACAAGCCGGAACGTCACGGGTTCGATTCCCGAACAAGTCATTAGATATTTTAATTGACCTAATCCTTCCAGCCGCGCTGTGGCCCTGGGGTTGACTCAGCGTCTAACAGAAATGAGTACCAAGAATCTTCCTGGGGGTAAAGGGCGGCAGGCGCGTAGGGCTGACAACCTCAGCGCCATCTGTGAGCCGATTGTCTAGAAGATGTTGGAACCTCGACTTGTCACAACTCTGTGGGCCTCCACTGCCTGATACAGGGATAGCTTTACCTTTTTTTATGGAGGCTATACAGCAATACGTTGATATATAGGCCGTTAGATAGCCCTGCATGTGGGTAGCTGCGTGGATAGTAGGCAGGAAAGTTGTTCATGGGTGATATGCCGGTATGGGAAATACAAGGCTGGGCGTGTCTAAATGTCTTAAGCTGTAATCGGACGGTAAGGGGAGGTGAGGGATTTTGTGAATGTGAAGGCTGTTTGTTTTGGGCGCAGTCTCGTCACTGGGGGCGCCTGTTAAAATCGTTTTGTCCGTCTGTTTGTACGCAAGAAACCGCAGATTTTACGTGAAATTTTATGTAGCGGAGTTTTAATTACAATTTGGAAAGCCGTTCTGTTTTGTTGTTAAAAGGGAGAAACCTTACATGAAGACCTACACGCTTCTGTGTTCCCATCTCGAGCCGAAATGCAGAACATAGGGAAGAATACATTTCTTCCGGTTCTCGCGATACATAAACAAACATAAAGGGACGAGCGCGCAGTCATGTTATGCCGAGAGTACATTTCGAAACTTGAACACTGCGGTCCTGTAGGTTGTAACGCCGCGTATTTCGTATAGGACCCCAATTCCCTGAGGACCATGTCTTATGAAACCAGCAGAGAAGCTTTGCTACCCGGTTCCTAGCTTGACTTAACACTTTGACCCTGAAGATGGCGATATATTTCCCCGAATCGACGGTCTGTTTGCAGACTGCAAGGCATTATGACCCATAAGATCCCCACTCTTCATTGTTACTTCCGCGAGAACCGCAAATCAAACCTTTCGTAACTTATTTCCTCGTAACGTTCCATGAATTTAGGTCGGTAATGTGGATGTTTGGAGTTGCTGTGTGCGGCCGTGGTGTGGAGTTACGTGAGGGCGTTTTATCGGCCGTATTCGGTGTGCTTCCTCTTAATGAATGTTACTATACAAATTAATAAATTGTGTTCCTCTTGGTTTAGAAGTATAGCAATTTGGGAGGGGGGCAAGCCAGGTATGGAGGAACTGGTTTTATAGGGCAAAGGAATTTCTATCCAGCAATCGCCTCCTTAAGGACGGAATGATGTTCTCCTAGCGGACATTTAACATAAAGGACACAGTTTTATTTGGAAGACTTCATGGGAGACCAGGGCAGAGATGGTATGACATCTCTATAACATTCAGTGACACGCTCTTCGGTGACGACATATTTTGTACCCTGAAGATGGAGGTATAGCATTCCTCCGAAACGTATGTAAACATCTGCAGAGCTCACGCTGCTTGGCGGTTCTTATTTTAACTAAAACTGGAGCCAGTATGTTCCTCCCAATCCTAGGTGAACTGTTACCAGACTGCACGGCATCACATTCCTCTACACACTGTTCTTGAATATGTTCTAGCTTTTGCTGGAGGGACTGATAAATACCAGGAACAGAATTCGGCATCGAAATCCGAAACTGAGAACGCCTGAAACAAAGCCGAAGCGAATTATTATTCTTAGTCGGGTGAGACTGAGTTCACTTGGTTCACCGGCCAGTACTGGCCTGTTGTACCAGCCCCAGATAGTGGTGACTGCGAAGCAGTTTGTGGGATGAAGATTGGCAGGGGAAGCCGAAGTACTCGGAGAAAACCTGCCCCAGCGCCACATTTTCCACCGCAAATCCCACATGACCAGACCCGGTCTCGAAGTTGGGCCGTCGCGGTGGGAAGCCAGCTACTAACCGCCTGAGCTATGGAACGTCCTTGCGGAATGTTACTTTTCCTTTGCCATATCTTGCCAGAGAAGCTTTGATTGAAGATGGCATGAACACGGGCACCGCTTTGCAAACAGAACTCTAGTTTTTATGTTGGATACCCCTTTATGTACCGTTACGAAATGAGAAGACTAAAAAAACGTTCTTTTAAACCTGTAGATCGCAATGGCAGGGGTTGTACCCCAAAACAAGGCGCTGTTATTTACATTACGCTACGATTGAGATGTACTAGTAGTTCCAAAAATGTACCACCGGAATTAGCTTAACTGTGAAATTGTGATAAAACAGTCTGACGTGACTTCATTGTTGGAGAGTGAAGTTTGTGCTGGTTTTCCCCAATTTTCTAGACTGGGTACGTCATTTGGTTAGCATTTAAATTCCACTGTCATAAAACAAGAAATATATTTCCGAAAATTGAAGACTGGGATGGTTCCCGCCGCTGATTTATCTCCCTGTCGAGTCGTGTTTTGTTTGAAATATGTTCTGTCATGCTGTAGTGCACAATCAAACTCCCATTTTGTGACGCCACTCGGTCACAGAGCGCAGTGGCCGTGGCTGGCAGATATAAATCCCGCGTCCCCCATGTCACTCGACGATGGATACTGTAGATACTGGCCGAGGGGGACAGTCCTTACAGCAGCAGCAGCCGGCGAATTGCCTGACAGTTCGTTGGCTCCGTTGGGGCTTTCCGCCCATTTCAACTTCCCCCCCATGTGAAGCCTGACATAAACTGTGCAGGGTGGGCTCCCGGGTTCAGAGCTCGTTCTTTGTGTTCGTTGGCGCTGTTGCCTGTTTCTCCCGCGAGGCCCAATTATGCCCGCATCATGTTTGCTGGATAGATTCTTGTGGGAAAGCGAGCGGCACAGAAACTTTTGACCTTCTGGAGTGGGCGTGCAATGTGGCAACTCGGTCCGTGTGTTTGCAGGGTTTCAAGCGGTCGAACTAGCCCGGCACAGTGTTGCCACGTTGTGCCAACACAAAAACTGGCAGGCATGTTTTAGGACATTCTTCGGCTCTGCGGTTCGATCCCTCTCGTTGGAAATTAATCACAAATATTATTGGGGAAAGACCGCCTGACAGAGTAATTGCGTGTGTTACTGAAGAAACGGTGTTCTGTCCGGACGGCGGCAGCCTGCTTGGTTGGTGACTTGGGGTTCGTAATTGTAAGGGGAGCTGTACCAAGACCACACGGCTCTCTGCCAGGTGAGGTTAGCGGACGTGAAGAGACGGGTTTCTTTATGCAGCAGGCCTGGGAGTGGAGTTACAACTCCAGTAAGGGCGAGAATCCCGCGGCGTGCCGTTGTGTTTTGTGAGCCACTCGACCTTACGTCAGACGCGGGGCCGGCCTCTAACAAATGACGGGGGGACCTGCATAGGCTGTGCTGCTTGCTTTTCCTCGGCGAGTCTACTACGCCGTCCAAGGATAATGGGGAGGTTAGGCAGATGCATTCCCCCAGTTCCATTTTACCCTATTTCTATGCTGCCATTGTAAAAGCGGGTTCATTAATCAAAACAAAAGAGACTCATTCCATGCCGAAGAAAAAAGAAAAACATCCTCGGAATATTGTTGTGTGCGGACTTTCCTTTCTGGATTAGTACTGAAAAATGTAGGCGATTATTCACAGGACTTTGTCTTTGTTTTAGAACAAATGGCCTAGTTGTTATTACAAAGATTTATTTTTTCTTTTGAGATTGCAGCCTAAATGCTGGTGTTGTAAGAGTTTCTGACGGTGGTTTTAATTTTTGTTTCTGTGGACATTGGCCATTGGATCACGGAGATTTGAACGTAGACCCGAAGCCCCTGGAAGAAAGTAGTTCTCTGGATAAACGTAACGCTTAGTACTGGTATTATCGAAGACACCGAGCAGGATCCTTTTTGAGAAGCTGATAGTCGTTGTATTCTGACATGAACCCCGCCTCTCATGAGACATGAAGGTTCATTACCATATCCTCAAGAGCCCATCACAGAATGT